TTTTTTCCTACACTTCCTTTTCTGGCCAGGCCATTTGTAAAAGCACAACTATCTAATGTGAAATGCCTTGGTCAGACTATCCAGAACATGTGAGAACAATAAAATCCATTCAGCGTGTAAGCATATATAGCACAGTAGGCAGCTCTGATGTCATGTGCCCGCAGAAATAAACCATAGATGCCTACAGTGTGAGCGCTCTGTTAGCGCCTCCCATTACTTTCTATGATGCTGTCTTTTCCAGAGGGTCTGGTTCTGGTTTGTAGCAGAGGAAGCGCGCCAACAGAGAACTTCCTTAGAAGTGTGAGTGGTGAAGTCCTCAGAGAAATCCCGCTGGCTGCGAGTCAACAGCAGTGACTAAATTGTTATCCTCTCCAACCAGTCATATACATCAGATGGTCCGTAAAAGATAAAAACACATACAAACGAAGCCACAAGCTGTTAAAAAGAGGAGAGTAAGTGTGTGACTATGATGAACTATATAGTTATAAAAGACTTTCCTCCTTAGTTCTGCAACAGGGAAGTTTTAATGTTTTCAGACATTTTGAATAAAGAGCAGGTAGTATTTCCTATGGTGGCAAGGTCCCATTGGGAAGGTAAACTATTCTGAAAGGGGTCCACTGCAATGAAAGGGGTCACAGTTTTTTCCTTCTTGCCAAGTAAACCATAGGAAGATGTGCCTCTTGCTTTTCTTGACAAAACCTCATATCAGCATTATTTTTTCCCCAAGAAATAATTAAATTATTCTGAATCAGACCATTGTTAAAACTGTAGTAGGCAAAAAAAAAAAACAATACTCATCCATTCTCACATACCTACTATAGTAAATGTGAAAATGTTCCGTGTAAACTGTGTAACTTATTGCCCAGTTGTTCATTTCCTGTAGAGACAATGGCTGTGCACCTTAATTTCTCAGCTGAAAAGATGTGAAAAGACTTGTGAAGGGTCAGTCTCGTGCCAGATTTTTAAAAGTCTAAAAGCATGGCTAAGTGGATGTTAGGACTTGTTTCTTCTTACCAGACTTAACTCCATATTATCTTTTAAAGATTATAATGTGGTTTTAGGGGTTTTGTTTTTGCTCAGCTGAGCTTTACAAACTACTTTGTCAAGGAAATCATGTGTGAACTCAAATTTGAGCATAACAATGATTCTTTGAACAGATTTAAACCCCCTAATTCTGCTTTTTGAGTGTCTTACTGTTGATCCTTTTACTCCAGGGGGTCCAGGAAGGCCCATCTCCCCTCGATCCCCCTGAAATCCATAAACACAACAGTTACTTTGTATTACACTGAGAGGATATGTTACGGAAAATAACAAGCAGAACCCTTTTCTTTTATTCTTACCTTCTCTCCTGCCAGTCCTGGCTCTCCCACAGGTCCGATAAATCCAACCAAACCCTGAAACATGGAAAGTCGATGTTGGATGGATGAATGGAAAAGAGTCTTTTGGATAAGAGGCGTGAGACAAGTACAAATATTTAAAGCGGGAAATGGTAATGTCAGGGATTCTTACCCTTTCTCCCATGGGTCCAACTATTCCTGTGATACCGGGTTCACCCTACAGACACAAATCCACTGTTACTTGTGGGATTACTATGACAAATGCATTTTTCTTGCGTTTAAAGAAAGATGGGAATGAAATGATAAATCAGACTGATTTTATTCACCTTCATTCCCTCTGCGCCAGCCATCCCAGGAAACCCGTTTCTTCCCATTCTACCCTGAAAAAATGAGCCACAGAATGATGAATAGTGAATAAGAGACATTTGCTTGCCAGTGAACACATCAGTAACACTCATCACAAATTCATAGCAAACAGAAAATGCCTTTTTCCTGTGAAATAACCGTTTAAAGAAAAATCTGTGAAGTTTGTGCTGTGTGCATGCCGCTAAAATAAGCAAGTAGTGCTGGCAGGAGTTTTAGGCACACTGCAGACATATTTAATGACTAAAATTTTTCTAGATGTATTTTTATTTAAACCAGTAATACTTTCAGGTCAGAAATGTCTCAGCCAAACTCCTAAAGACAGATTGACTCAATATTTCCAAAGTTTTATCCCAGATAAGCAGATGTAATAAATAATAATAAAAAAATAAAAAATTCAAAGTTAGCACTTTATTTCACTGAAAAACAGTAAAAGTCAACTCCTGTTGTAAAAGGAAGATTGATATTTTTGCTCTAGCGCTTGTTATTTCTTATCGCCTGTTATATATTAATATTTGCCATATATTTGGACAAAATGATTGAAAGAACATGTTTTGCAACAAAAAAAAGAAGAAAGAAAACAACAGCATATAAAAACTGTAAAAAAAAAAGAAAGAAAAGAAAAGAGAAGAAAATAATGAAAGAAAAATATAGAAGGAGGTTGTAATTTAAGAGAAAGGAAAGGAGTAGAAAGACTTGTGGCAACAAGCCAGAGCTCAATCATGGCTCCTGAGGGAGTCAATGAGACTTCCCCTCAAATAGAAGATGAAGGGGTGTGTGTGGGGGTGGGGGTGGGGGTGTAGAGTAGAAATAAAAACGTCAAAGGAAGGAAGTCAACGATGAAGAAAAACAGAGTAAATTTGGAATAATTATTCTGTCAGATAAGTAAACCTAAAAACAACTAACATATTTTTTTTCTTAATCAGTCAATAAAACATCAGAGAGAATAAAATAAACAAAACGTTCATTTCTGCAGTGGTTCATCAGCATCTTGCAGCATCTAATGACAGGTATAAATAAACCCTGGCTTTTATGAACGTTATGACAGGTGTCTCCCCCTGGTGGTAAAGACCCAGAACTGCACGAAGTACTTGGTTGTCAGTAGGTGGAGTTCTTATCCAGAGACAACATAAGAGTTGCAAGATATTAAAATAAATCAAATTTATTTATGACTTATCACATCCATCCATCATCTTTACTCGCTTCTTCCTTTTTGGGTCACAGGGGTCACTGGTGCCCATATCCAGTCATTACTGTGCGAGAGGCGGGGTCCATCACAGAGACACAGAGACAAACAAGACAAACAACCATTCACACGCTATTAACCTAACATGCATGTTTTTGGTCTGTGGGAGGAAACCGTAATACCCTGAGAAAACCCACGCATGCACGGAGAGAACATGCAAACTCCACCCGGGATTTGATCTGGTGACCTTCTCGCTGAGAGGCAACAGCTCTACCAACTGTGTCACCGTGCCACCATCGCTAACATTAATAAAAATAAAAAATAAAAACATTTAATTATAGTTATCTATTTTCCCACCTCTATGCCGTTTAGGAAAAAAAAAAAAAGCAGATACAAAGCAGTTTAAGGAACACACAATTAAAGGTTAGTAATAAAAAAATACTACATTCAATAAAAAGAGCTGATGATAAACGCCAGCAGTAGATAATGCCGAGTAAACGCCAGGCTGTTTTAAAGTAAAATTGCACTTCTGGGATGCTAACGTCATGCCAAGATTCTAGTGAGCTTTTACGTCAAGGCTGTAAATCATTTTTGGATGACTGCAAAGTTTGCAGACAGATCTAACATTATGAAGCAGCTGTGTTAAGATAAAAAAAAAACAAAAAAACACTTTAGTTCTCTTGCATGGAAACAAGTTGAAATTGAAAAGAAACTATATTTTCTTTTTCCGTAATATACTTGAACTCTTTTATTAGTTTATGGTTGTAATTAAAAGATCCAGTAATTAACAAAGATGCTGCTGTCTTTCTTCTCCAACAGCCCAGAAGCTTCAGGTGTTTTATCTAATGCCTCACCTCAAGACCTGATGGTCCAGGTGGCCCAAGGGGACCTTCATCTCCCTGGTAACAGATAGAATTGATATAAACACAACATACGTTTGGGGCATGAAATATTGTTCAGTAAAAACAAGCTTTGAGCTATAAAACTTAAATGACTGCTGGTGCTTTAGGATTTTTCTGATGTGTGTGTATAGCATCCGACAGTCTTACCTCCAAGCCTAGTACCCCTCGTGGCCCCGGTAAACCTCTGGCCCCTGGTTTTCCCTTGATGGGTAAAACGCAGTAACATTAATGTTAAGGTGTAAATATTCTTTAACAGAAATATTTTCAACCAGCTGTGAGGAAGATGGTGACATTCTGTTGGTTGGATCACATGGAGTGCCATAAAAGTTTGGGACTGACGTTCATAGTCCCCAGAAGATAAACCACCCTGTTGACTCAATCCCTGCTAGAGTTGCATTTGGGCCTCAAAAAATCTGACCCGACCCCAGCACATAGCCATTTTTTCTGAACCAGATCCGATCCGACTAATTAACTGTAACTAGAGGCCCAAATCCCCCCCCCCTTTTTAAATTAAGCTTTTACTGCTTTTGTAAGCAAATCAGTTTGACACGATATTTTAAAACCATATTTCAAAGAAAGGAAGATATAAGATTTCTTGTTTATTAACAAGTCACCAAATGGATATTGACATACAAAATGAATCGCCTAAAAAAAAATCAAATCTAAAAATAGGCTATTATATAAATGAACAAAAATATTTTAGACCAAAATTATTTGGGAAAAAAAAACAAAAACAGAACAAGGCTATTTTAATTGAATGCGCTGCTCCCTTCGGCTTTTGTAGCTTCAGATGCGGCAACTTCCTTCACCGCAGATGACAGCAGGGTGCGCTGAGGGACGCGCGCGGCCGGTGATCCATCTGGCCAATGTTTTGTCCGTTCTGCATAAATTGTCAGATCATCATATGCATAGCACAAACTGACTGCTGTATCTGTTTGGTCAACATACGATGTCAGATCGCCATATGCTCCATGTAACTAAATCAGCCATATGACAACATGACGTAACAGATTACCTGTCTGTAAACTTTGTTATTAACAGCTAATAATTTAGCAGTTAACCTGTCAGATCATCATATACTTTGTTATTAACAGCTTTGATGAACTAACAGCTCCTTTTCTAATCGGGCCACTTACAGAATACACATGCACATGCACTGCAAATTGTGTAAATACACAATAATACTATGTTTAGACCAAAACAATTTACTTACCGTCCATAAAATGTATTGCACACTGAAAATTGTATAAATACACAATAATACACCTAAACAATTTAATGACTTGCTTTTTTCATATTTTGTAGTGTAAGATCTTGTAATGTATGATAAACGGACGGCTTCTCTAAACGTTGCGGGCCTCTTGCAGAATGCGCATGCACGTACATGCATGTTAACTTTATGTATGCAACTCTGACATGTATGCAGAATGGACAGAACACCGGTCAGCGGACATGCACGGCCGATGATCCATCTGAAACTTAACAGGACTTTTAATTTTAATTCTTTCAACCGGCCGGTCAGTGGACGTGCACGGCTGATGATCCCTTTGTCCATCTGAAGCTTAAGACTTTTTTTTTTTTTACCTCTTTCAACTGGCAGGTGCACCTGACCTGCCACACATCAGCAGGTTTCACTGTGCTGGCTTTGTATAGTGATTCATCCCATTTTAAAACTGCATCAAAAGCTCAAGACCGATCCAGCCTGCCTATCAAGCACATCATTTTGGCCCGACCTGGCCTGAATTTCAAATCGGGTCAGGCTGGGCCCGGGCTCGTGTTAAAAATCGCAGCTTTAATCCTCAACACTTCCTGACTGATCCTACTTTTGTTTATTTCTACATTTGTAAAATGATTTATTTTTTCCCACATTTCGTAATTAATAACCACAGACATGCAAACACTTAAAAACATTTTATATGAAAAATGTTTAACAATGTATTTTGAGAATTTTAGCATGCTAACAGTAGCATTCAGCTAAAGCACTGCTGTGTGCTTCAACAAAGGGGGGCTGTAGAGTCTTAGCCGTATTCTGTTTTGTGTTTTAATTTAAACTTTATAGTCCAGCTAGGCAAGATGAAGGTTTAACTCACCTTTGGTCCTTCAAGGCCATTGTCTCCTGGTGGTCCCATGTCACCAGGAAAACCCTGTTGTGAGTAATAACAGAGCTTTAATGTTTCTGAAACACAGAAACATAATGCAGCAGACAAACAGAAAATACAAACCTCAGGTCCTGGTGGTCCAGGTGCACCATCAGGACCTTTCTCTCCTGACTTTCCCTGATCAATAAAAACATTGACAAAAAATTAAAATGCACAGATTCAAGTGCTTTTAAAGACATTTCAGGTAGTTTGACTTTACATACATCTTTTCTGACTGTGCCCACGTTGATGCTTTTTTTCTCTCTGCTGCATTTTACATGTTGATTTAGTTCAATTTAAATAAATATACTGAAATTAAAACATAAATATATATATTTTTTTCTTTTTTATACAAAATTATTAAACTGTTTTCAACTCTTGGGCTAAAATATTTTACTGTTCTTTTTTTTTTCTCTTCTTCTTCTTCCTAGGTTTGCCAAAGAAAGACAGTTGCACAAATGTACAATTCCAAATGAAAAATGACTTTTTGCTGGCCGTTGCATAAAACCACTGGCATATCTGTCCACTAAGTGGAAGACTAGCCTGACAGCTGCTCAAAAAAGCTGACTGGATTATGGAAATAAAGACCACCCACCAGCACCTCTGAGGATCACTCAAATATTCTTTAATACACAAACGTTCCCTATAAGCCTAAAAAGAAAGTGTAAAAATATAATCCAACAGACTAAATGTATGTAAAGTGTTTATTTAAGTGAACACAAATACATTTTTATTGCCTATGAAGTACAATGTGAGGCGTGATTCGCAGAAATGCACAAACAACTTTCAGCTTTCAGTTCTGGAAGCTTTAAAACTCTGGCCTGGTATAACGAGAAAGACAATGATGATAAGTGACTATCGTTGTTGCCTGGCAGCTTAACGAAGACAACAGCACAACAGGAATTTGCAGCTACAGATGTTAAGAGTTTCATCATCTGATCTAAGTTTAAATTAGAGCGTGAACGAGCAAATTGTTGGTCGCATCCTTTAGATGAAAAACATAGTGTTAACATCATTATCACGACAGATCTAACCTGTGGTCCTGGTTTCCCACGAACACCTGGTAACCCTGGAACCCCCTGGATGCCCTATCCAGTGGAAACAAAGCATAAAACATGGACAGACGGTAAGGCAGCATCCAGAAAAAAACAAATAAATAAGCTCAAATTTCTTTAAGGAAACAGACATTAGACATGCATGACTCTGGCCTCGGGGTGGGGGGTGATCTGTGATGAACTAGTTTTACTTACACACAGAAACAAATGTGGAAGATTGATATGAAAATGTCCATGAGGCAGCAGACATCTGGCTAAGTCATCTAAACATGTTTCGTAACATGGGATCTGTGTGACTGGAAGCTGTGTGCAGGAAAGGGTGTATTCAACTAAGGTCATCTACCTTGTCTCCTTTGTACCCGATCTCTCCTTGCTCTCCAGGAATCCCTACGTCCCCCTGATGGAGAAAGAGGGGGGCAAATGCACGCAGGAAGATGGATGAGGTTTGGGCAGAAAGAAAAAGAAATGGAAAAACATTAGGGGCAGGTGGGGTTATAACGTCCTACTTTGTCCATCACACTCAGCTTTTTCAACACACAAAACAAATTAGCACCTTGTGCATTATAAACATTGATGCAAATGAATGTAGTTTGTTGAATAAGCCAAGCTGTTCATGTGGTGACAATGTGTCCTTTAAACACAGTTGATAACAATCGCTCCATTCTGTCGCACCACATGTTTCAGAGACTGAGCCAGGCTTCAACAAACTAATAATGGTAGAGTTTGGAGCATTTCTGTACAAGAAGCCTTCTTGAAATGTAAAATAACATCATTTAAATGTTAATTTTAATCTGTTTTGCAACCTCTTGTCCACTAAGAGACACGGCGAATGAATTTCAAACTTTTAGCAAAACATTTGCAAGGAAAATTTGAACAAACATTAAATGTGTTGCGATCTTTCTCCCGCTGCCAAGCTCAGAAGATTAAGAATTTTACAAAAACATCTTTCAGATTTTATTTGTTTGTTCTAATGTTGAAATGCTGCTGAGATCTTCAGGCCAAACCCAGCTTATAAAAGATGAACAAATTCACAAAATAAAATGCTCCTGAAAAGCTTTGCTGAAAATTTACTCACTCAGCAAAACAAAGCACATTTAATTTATCATTTTACCCTTAAGTACCGTAAGTTGTTTGTCTTTCTTAATACGGCAAAGCTTTCTTAAATTATTTAGCAAAGTATTTCTTGACAACAATTATTACATTCTTAAAATTTCAATAAAGATATAAAAGTTTCTGCATTGGATTCCAGACAAAATGACACACAAATGACTGATATTTGAAGAAATATGTCAAAACTACTGACAAAATTAATTTGGAACAATCACCAGACATTTGTTACTTAGGTCAAAGGTGAAATCTCAAGGAAAGCATGCTTTATGTCCAAAGGCTGGCAGAAACAACTACACAACAATGCAAAAAGCACAAATCAATCACATGCTTAAAACTCAGACTAATAACAGGAATATTCAGATCACCTTATCACCTTTCAGTCCTGGTTCTCCAGGATTTCCAGGGACCCCCTGGAACAAACAGACAAATGTATTAGAAAGTTACAGCCCAGAAATTTCTGGTGTTGCACTGCACTGATGTTTTGAGAAGAACGTTGATTTCTAAATGTTTTTTTTTCATCTAATTTGAATTCAAACCATTTTTTCCCCCATTCTCTTATTTAATATCACACAAAAGGCAGCTCCAATAGGAAAATGCTTGTTTGTGAGAATACCTTCAGTCCAACAGGTCCAGGAAGGCCCATTTCTCCCACAGGTCCCATATCACCCTGGTGCCAGAAAGAAGATGGGATAGCCAATAAACATTTAGTGATAACACATGCTTAAAGAACAGATAAACACATGACTGCGACATTATTTTAACGCATGCAATGTGTACACCCTCTATCTTCGTTTACTAAAGGCAAGACCAAACACTGCTTCCAGATTATCCATGTACGTCTCAAACTACACAAAAAAACAGCAGCTGAACATGGAGAAGCCGGGAACATTTTTCATCTGAAGCTTGAAATAAAAAGGGGTCTTGGCTCAGTCTTTAAAATACTTGTCTCTTTGAAAAGTGCACTCGCACATGCGACAAAACATGTCGCTGACGTACAAAACGTTATCCCTTTAAAGAAATCAGCTCATTTGGTATCAAACGTTCAAATGAAATAAAAGAAACCAATTCCAAGAGCTTGAAGTTATTATGTAGTCGAGTTTTTGATGATAATTGTTCGTAACCATCATCCTCCACTGATCCCATTGACCCTTTTAAAGCTTGTTGTAGTGCTATAGACATGCATGTAGAAATCTGTTATCAATGCCTGAAACAAGTGGGATCCAAGTTTAATTCCAGGCCAGTAAAACCTGTCCAATCAAGATTAAATTTAACCCAGAAGTAGTTTAAATGCATGCTCCGAGACATTTTCTTATGGGTTCAAACTGCAAAAGCATCTGTCTAGACATTTTCTTATCCTCCCTGTCCTTACAGAGGCCAGCCTTCACTTAGAGCTGATGGCTTTGAGTCCTTAGCGGAGGGTGTCTGTATATTTAAATGAGTTCACTATTGCTGGTACAACTGGTGTCAGAGGAGGCGAAGCTTAGATCTATAATCAACGAATTCTCTGATTACAGACCTACTGTAAGCCTAGAATAGACCGGGAGCGGCGACAATGACAGCTGAAGGCACGACAAGAAAAAGTAGTGAGACGTTATAATCAGACAAAACTATGTGGTCGTCACACTGAGGAGACACACAGGGCAAGGTGATGGGTGGGCAAGTTCTGGTCCAAAAATAGATCAGGAGATGAAGATTTGGATGTGTTGCGAATTTTGATTGATTAACCTAAAAGCGTCGATAACTTATCACGCGTGACTCACGTTTAAAATCCACTCTTCTGCCATATTTTAAAAATTATTTAGTCGTTAAAAGTTGATTGTGTTTCTGGCACCACTTCACAATCAGGCTCTCTTTATAGATGGCTATATAAACACTTTATAAATCATTAATAACTGCTTATTATGCATTAATTAAGTGTGACAGAGAAAAAACGGAACAGTTTGTTCGCCTATTTATTTCATGTCAGACTAAGTTACTACCTTGTGAGCACAATAAGCATTTGTAAACCTATCTTTTAGGATATAATATTAGTTGTAGATACTTGTAATGCAGTGATAAAGTACAATTTTATATGCTAATGAAATAGATTTACAAATGCTTATTGTGCTTACAAGTTAATAACTTGGTTTGAAATATAACTTTAGATGAAATATACAGGTGAACAGATTTGGCTCATTATTTGGCAACAAACTGGTCAGTTTTGTCTCTCTGTCACCCTTAATTAATGCATAATAAGCAGTTAATGATTTATAAAGTGTTTATAGAGGAATTAATAACTATGCTATAACCATCTATAAGGGGAGCCTTACTGTATGTAACAGTGTTTGGTAATCCACACCGGTATATGTCTGTGTAAACAATAATGCAACAATAATAATTAAAAAAAACAAACACTTTAGGTTTTATTTAAAGGCAGTGCTGCACATTTATTAGTGTAAATTGTATCTGAAGGGAAACAAACCCCAAAGATGATTACTCTAAGAGAAACAACAATTTCACACAAAAATACAACTAGCAGTACTCACAATGAGTCCAGGAACTCCATTTGGACCTGGAGCTCCCAAGTCTCCCTACAGAGAGAAAGGGAAAGATGATGTGAGATGGAAAGGGCAGGAGAAGTTTTAGGCTTAGTGGCTCATTTTATAAAACAAACATGCTCAGGAGAGCAGCTCAGTATTCACTCAGGGGGGCTGTGTGCACGTTTGAGTGAACGTGTCTGAGGTAAAGGTGGTGGGGGATGTGAGCCTGTCTGGCATTTTCAAATAAATAAATTAAAAAAAAACAGTGTGTATCTTAAAGGGATAGTCTGGTCACTTTCAAAAGTGATGTTCTGTCATCAATAGTGAATATCCTTTCAGCTGTGACGAGTCAAAGAAAGAGGCTAAACTCTTTGTCCAGACTAAACATAATGGTCTTTTTTTTTTCAGGCTTGTTTAACAACTCTTTCTCAAAGATGTCCAGTACATTTCTCATGACACAATTTGTTTGGTTGCATCCGTTATCTCAACTGAACAACGTCTGTGTTACAGTGTGAATGAACATTCATGCCATTAACCACAAATAGCATTAGCGCTACTGAATGTCTCAGTCCGGCTGATGTAATCCATCACAAGTTCTGCACGGTCCATGCTCACTCAGCACACATACATTTGAAAAGTAACGCGAACGTTGCTCAGTTGAGAAAACGGCAAGAAACTAAACGAATGACGTCATGCAAAAGTGTCAAAGTATTTATTAATAGCAAGCATAGCGTTCTTTCACACCTGCATGACAGTTTTGGGAAAAAGAGGGTTAAAAAGGGTTAAATAAGCTTAAAAAAAAATGTCTAAAATAAGATTTCTCATAGCCTGAAAGACGACTACTGCCTCTTTCTCCACATTCGGTGACCGAACATCCCTCCAAAAACAACCAAACTCTCCCTTTAATGACTATGATAACTTAATTTGTTTTTCAGTGCCTCCAGCAGCAGAAATCAGATTCTCTTAGTGCAGTAAGAGCTGCCAGCAGCGGTTTGACTTCGTGCCTTTGCACTGCAACACATCAATGCTCTGCTCTCTTCACAGATTTTCCACTTAATTTCCCTAATGCAGCTACCCATTACTGGCATTTTTTTTTAAATCCTTGCATCCCCCAAACACGTTTATTTTAGGTAAATAAGGAGTTTGCTCTCTTTTCCTCAAAGATTTTTGTAAATCCAGAAAACACATTTCCAAACAAAGCAGTCTCAATATTTTCTATCTTTTTTTTCCTTTCTACCTTCTTCCTTTTCATTTGCCAAATCTTTTCCCCATCTTGAAAACAGCAAAAGGTTTAGCTGAAAGATTAGCCTTATTTGAAATAAAATGAAAGCACTCACGTTAAGAAAATGATTTAGTAAAGGTTTAGCTGCCTGATCTACATTATCA